GAGCTGTTCAGCACAGTTTCCTGACCTAGTGGGGCTGGCTAGGGCTTAAGACAACATCAACAAGGCTGCAAACCAATCCCCAATCGTGAAATCCTATTTCGCCAAAATAGGATTGTTTCTTGGGGCTTGCCTATTTGAGCTGCTCAGCACAGGTTCCTTACCCAGTAGGCCTGGCTAGGGCCTGAGACGTCAAGAAGGCTGCTTGGCTTGGTGGAGTCCTGGTGCTGGACTTACCTCGCATAATTTTGTTTTGAAATTATTCTACCTCGTACCTCGCGAAGTGAGCTCGCAATAATTCGCTCAGATATATATATATATATCAAGCAAACAAAATTGCTCTCAATGGCAGTGAAACAAGAAGGGTGAGCGGAATACAGTTTTCAAGTGCTTAAAAGCTGCTGTCTGTAGCAATCTTACATCCTGTGCAGGACATTCACATTCTGTGGACATTGCAGTGTGTGCAAATGCACTGCACACACAGCAAAGCCAGGACAAACACTCTCCCTTCCATGTCTCATCTACTAGGGAACTGTTATATCCAAAGTGGAAGAGTTCTATAGCCTGGAGAGTGCCTGCCGGCCATTTTGCGAATCCCTCATGATCATCTGTACAAATGGAATCAAATGGATACAAACGGCCTCTTTGCAAGATGCTGCGTGCCCATCATGTATGGCCTGTACATGCCTGTACGAGTACATGGAGGCTGTGGTTCACTGAGAAAAAGCAATCTCTGCCTGCGGGCTTATCCAAAGGGGTGTCCCACCTGTCCCCAAAAGAAAAGAAGGAGTCAGTTGATGCATGTCCCGCTCTCCAACTATCTTCTTGCGGTTCACTGCATGGCGCTGAAGTGAGCCAAACATGAAGAACACTGCTGAAGTGAGCCAAGTGGCTGATCTGCTTGGTCTTTGTGACAACCACAGCCACGTCAAAAGCAGCCGACAAAGTGCACCGCGGGACGCAGCAAAGCAGCTTCGTCGCCGTAGGCGGTCTCTTAGCGACGGCCAGCGACACCTCCGTAGGCCCCGGACATTGGCATGCATGAACTGCAATAGAGGGGGCCATTGCCTGAGTGCACAAGGCAACCTTCGGACATTCACCAGGTGATTCAAACATTATTTTGAGATATGCTGGAAAGATCTCGAGTCGTTTTCTTTGGTTTTTCATGCTTTTCCAGAAACATGTTGTGGAACCAATCTGACCACAACAGGGAACTGGTTGACTGTGACATTTGTGCATGCGAAGCTCGCTGGAGCTAAACCTATTCCTCATAGGTTGAACGTCTTGCAATGGGGAGGGAAGGTTAATGAGCCTTCGTGCGAAGTGGCTTCTCTCATGTGACGCATCTGTGTTTTGCCTCTTAATTACAACGGTCATCTAGAAGTTAGCGTGAAAACAACCAGTGTACAGAAGATCCCATTATACAATATATTGCACGAAAGTCAAGCAGCACTCAATGAGCACATGAAATTGTTCTTCTCCTCCCAGTTTCCCAAAAAGCTTGCGACAGGAAGGAATATGCAACAGGCTGTCAAGGGGGTGAAAGGTTGGTTGCATGGTTTGGCTATCGTTGCGCAAATTGCTATCACTTGTGACATCTTGTCGCGAGCCAACATGTGTTTGTATACTATATTATACGTTTGATATCATTTTGTTACATCACGATTCGGTGAGAGTGATATCGATTTTAAACTTATGCATGGCTATTGCTTTTTGGTGAGTGAGTGAGTGAGTGTAATTAACTGTGTACTTACTATCGTTTCTTCAGCTAGAACCGCTTGAACACCCATTTTGAGAATTTATGTGTTTGTGTAGTATTCTGGTAGATTTTTACCGTACCTATTGCAATATATATATATAAATTCAAATCAAACATTCATCCGAGTGACACACCTTCCGTCCTCCTTCCGTGCGAAATCCCCATTGGCAAACAACACCACATTCACACTGAATCTGATTCGCTTGAGCTCCCAAAAGCCTCCCAGCGCCCTTGCTAACCCCCCGAGGAGGCATCGCTCCTCTCAAATGCCGTGGTGGTAAAATTGCAGAATCGCTGGCGTCTCTACCTGACACATCCTGCTGCTGGGTGCCACTCACTTTGGGTGCGTTGACTGCTGCATGGCTGACGTTTGCCACTGGAGACGCTGCAGGCTTTGTAGGTGTTGCGTCTCCAGCCTCACTGGTGTCCGGAGCATCCTTGTGTGGAGGCACTGGAACTGGAGCAACTTGAGCAGGCACTTCGGCTGTTCCCTGTGCAGGGACGTCAGGTTTGTGCTCAGTTCCTTGTCCTTGAGGTACTTGAGCAGGTTCGACTGGAGCTCCACTTGGATCACTTGGTGCACATTCGAAGTGGCTTTCACAGATCTCCTCCTTGCCACGCTGGAACCCATGCCTGCAAAGGACACCCCAGGTGCAAGTTATTACATCCCCCTCACTGGCGCTTGCACCAGTGGCATCTGCCCATCGAGATAGCGATGGAATTGGATCCGACGAGGCAGATTGCCCGACAGCGTAAACCACCAAAATCACTTGTGCTCGGAGAAAGCCAGCCATACTGCTCAGGTACTAGGACGGGCGAAACTGCTTTTTGGACCTTTGGACAGCGACGGGTTGATCATTTTGTCTTTGTTTTCCAAGGAATTCGACCTTCCCAAGTCACTTTCCACACTTCCCCCGCACCTCCAGGCAGTGCCCATCGACGCCCAGGAACCCAAGACCTGGCAGCAACACCGTGGTGACCAGGGAGTCACAAAGAAAGCTAGGAAGATGTTAAGAAGCTTCAAAGACCCAAAACGCTTTATTGTTGCTAAGCGATGGCCTCCAACCTAATAGCGATGGCCTTCACCTAATAGCGTCCTTGTAGAAGTGTGAGCCAACCAGGTGATAAGGTTCGAACATGTAACAAACAACCCCGATGCGACTCTACATGTTTTTGGCGGAGCTGCAAGTTTCAAGTTTGGTGGTTTCCAGTACAGCTATCATGCGCATCAACCGGTATTCCATGCTAAAGAGCCATGCCAGCGCTCACAACAAGCAAGCAACGAGGGGTCACTCTCCTCTTCAGTCCATTTGTTCAATCACACATCTCTTTGCATTGTCATTCCTGAGCTTCTGGTTCTGTTGTGGACACCTCACCTTTCCAGCTGGCGGTTCCATGATCTGCAACTGATCCATGAAATGCTCAAAGTTCACGAAGACGTCCTGCCTGCGCAAGGAGCAGGCCTTCGCATTGGATTCCCACTGTACTGGGACTCGTAGCTAAGTTGTAAGCGAAAGGTTGATCAACCCTCCACGGATTGAGAGCATGTTGAAGACAAAGGTGCAGTGACCCGTACAAATAGTGACAGTACCAATGGCAGGATCGATGACCTGACTATATAATTGCAAAACATCTCACTCAAGCAGCGTTATTTACCGCGATTGGGTGGGCACTTTACGGGCGTTATTGCACGCTTGAGCAAAGGAACTTACACCCCGGACTGAGTGCACAGCCATGCTCGCAGCAAGGGACTCCACTACTTAAGTAGGAAACATATCGAAATGCGCACACAATCATGCCTCAGAATGAATGATCCATCAGCACTTCAAAAATAGCTGCTGTGGAAACCATTGCAAGACGCATCTGTTTCTTTGCTACTAGTACAGTAGCTTCTTTTTACTAGTAGCGATGGCCTCCGACCTATTTGCGATGTCCTCCACCTAATAGCATCCTTGCTCCTAGTAGCGATGCCCTGCATATTGCAATTCTCGTATCCAAACACCGCAAGCCCAGCAAACGCTTCCACTGTTCCACGAAGCACACCAACACAACAGCGCCTTGAAATGGTCAGGAAGCGGAACTGGAAATCCCGCAAGAGAGCAAAGACCTTGCAGGGGAACATGACAAAGTCCTGGCCACCTTCCTGTGAATGAAACCATGAACAACAAATAATGACCCTGGCACCTGAAGAGTTCAAACCATTTCACACACAACATGAACAAAACAGTCCAGAAATCGACAGATCATCGGCTTTTGGAGCTACTGGGTGATATTGGGTGTAAACCTCCATCCACTTGGGCAATGGCATGTGTACCACAACATGTTGCGGCCCCGGTGCCGTGGTGGTGCAAAGCCCCCCATTCCCTCCTCACATGTCGTAGATCCCAAACGAAAGGTAGAATCAGCAGTACATGTCAACCAGCTTCTGTGCTTGAACAGCTGCTCTTGCAGGGAACAGGCAGTGAGGCAATGGGATGCTAAAGAAGTCCCGCTCATCTTCTTTGGTCGACCGATGTCCAACTCAATGAGACAAAGGCTTCAGTGATGACTGTCGGTCCTAGACCCAGATTCCTGTGGGCCAAACACCCAAGCCTGTCACGCTGCAAGAAAAATGTACAATAGAATTATTGTTTATGCTGGATGTTCACTGCTTTCTTGATCCTAGGTTGATTCGTTGGCCCCGTTTGACCCGTTTGACCCACGTCTCCCACGCTGGCCTGCAGCAGTTGGTCTGTGGTGCCAACCAAAGGCTTCTCTTTTGAGGTCCTCTAGTCCACACAAAATCGCTGAGAAATCTCAAGAGGTCTTGTGAACAATACACCTAACCATTTCAGGCTGAAGTGCTGAACGTCAAATGGCAGTCACACCCCCAAAGACAGGTCTCCCACAGTGCAACAAACTTGATGAAATATGGGTATGGATCCAAACCCACCCACATACCCCTGCATGTTGGACCAGGGAATCTGATTTCTCACCATCATGTTGAGCCTCCAAGTTTGACTCATATCTATCTCCAACTTAAAACCGAGTGGGCAGTTTCACTGTTGAGCAGCCAAACTGGCCGCTGTCCTGTCAGAGGGTGGCAAGATGAGCATATCCTGCATCACACATGCATGCTACATCATCAATGACCAAAGCCGACCTTGGAAAATGATGTCTCAGGTGTCTTGTTTCACGAGAGTTGGTTAGTTGCAGTAGCTAGACAAATATCATATGTACACACACATTAATCATTATACTGTTGCCCTGTGTTCTCCTAGAGACTATCAAAAAACACCGTAAACAACCCTAGACTACGAACACTATACTGTTCATTCTTCCCATCAAGAGATTGTAAACCTGTAGCTTCCCCTCCCCCGAACAGCCAGTTTGCCCCTTCTATGGTTTTTACCCCACAAAGCAACTCGTTTGCACTCCTATCAACATCTTCAAAGTCTGGGACGCATGATGCCTTTGGGGCCAAAGAATGTACGGTGCGAAACCAAAGAATCTGGAACTGGACCTTGTCATTCAGGTATCGGCAGCGAGGTTTTCTCTTGTGACACATGGTGGAATGTGGCTGGTAGAGAAACAGAATAACATTGATTATGGCAATAGCCATAGCTAATAACTGTATAACTTGGATAGCTCTTCCCGTCCTTAGCTGGGTCAAGGACTTCTTGGGGAGCTCGGTCATCTTGGAATATGACCGATCCGTTGAACAGGTTGAACTCTTTCAATAAGCTCCTGCCTTGTGCTTGTCGTTCTCCTCATCTAGATTCACATATAGGCCCCCCTGCCAAAGGGCGAGGCGGCCACAGGATCCACAAAGGCAATTGAAGGGCGACCCAATGACCCCAGCACTGGCCCCAGCGACGGGCAAGGTTCTAATGAACAGGTGGGGAGGAATCTACATTAACGCCGGCGCAGCTCCGGCTAAAATTCAGGCTTTTGATCAAGGAACACCTCCTCATGAGCACATTGAACACATTCATGTTCCCTTTAAGTGTTTCCTTGTGCTCGACATTAATGTTAATGTTGAACCAATGAGCCAAAATCTAAATTCATCAAGTACGGAAACCGGCCACTGGCGCTGTTTCTAGTCATAATTTCCTAATCTCCCAAGTTGCGTACCTTGCGGATTTAGGTGTGATTGCAGTGATCTCAAAGCATGCGTACCAATTATCACACCAATCCCTAATGCATACTGCATACCGCATACCCACAGAAAACAGAAACAAATATAGCAATATGAATTTAATTAATAGACATTTATTGTTCTGACATTGACATTTGATCTGTGAACTGTCCAGTTTGACCAGTTCCTGCCTCGTCATGTGAGGGATACACTGCGAAGCTCCAACGTAATGATCCGGCCTTGGACTGGTCAAATGGTCAAAGCACTGAACATTCAGCCGGTGGAGATATCCTGTAAAGTCCTGTAAATATCCAAGAGCCTGGTTACTTCAATTCAGTTCTCTAGGTTCGCTCTGCGGGCCAGTGATTCGAGCCTACTGGATCCTACTGGGAGGTTTCCGGCAGTGATGATCTGCAACACATTTTGACGCCACAACTCTCTGATCCTTGACCTGAAAGACCTCACTGAATCCTGCTAGTTTAAGGATTTTAAAGGTAGTACGGTAGTACCACGTTTGATTGCTGCCCCTTTTTGAGGGTCCCTTGGGCTCTAGGGCACGAAGCCATCTCGGTGTCAAGCATTTGTTGCCCGTTAGGTGTGCTAAGCAAACTCAGGAAAACACATCGTCAGCAAACATTTACTGGCAAGCAAGTCTCATAGTTGGAGACATAATCTTTCAAAGTCTTGTCATGACCCTCATGGTCCCCAACCTACCTCCTTGTTGCAGTTGTTCACCCACTGCTAGTGTGAGTCAGCCAAACGCGACTGCCCAGTGAGAAACGATGGCGGATCCATTCCTATTCAACTCTTCATTCCCTCATGTGGGGCTCATTCCCAACTCCCTTGTCCCGCCGATGGTCTTCCCTCGACTTAGTCGCTGCCAGGCTACGCCGCCCAAGTGGAGGAACTTCGGCAGCCAAGCCTGTGAACTCCTCTGGGTGTCCCCGTCACGTTGACGGACCGAACGAATGGTTCAGAGTTGGATGTGAATGAACATGGCAAGAAAAGCTGGCAGGGGGAGGGCGTCTTTTTGAGGGAATTCTTCATCATAGGAAAATCATGGAACGTCTAGAGGAAAGTTGAGGGGCAAATGTTTTTTCCTGGAAGGCTCTTCCAGTGTCTTGCAGTACTGGGGATGCAAATGGAGTAATTATACTAGGTACAGATGACATTGTGAGTTGTGCAACGATCTCCAAGTCACCACCTTTCCTATGTCATCTGTCCACGGTCTCCAAAAAGAGAGGACAAACATGTAAAAAAGCAAAACGCATCTCATCTGTTCAAATCCTCAGAATCTCGGATTCCAAGGTGGCCCAAGCCCTACAGAGTCCATGACAAGAACCAAATCGCTCATGTGGTTGTGAATAGGTCAGAGTCCCATCTCATGTATCCGCAACCTATAATAATGCCGGTATTGACAAACAGGTAGTGGTTGATACCACCCATAATATACCATTCAAAAAAAACAACAACAAAGAAAAATGCATCTCATGTGTTCCCGGCATTTGTCACCTTCTCAAGGTATGTATCTCATGTGCATACGGTGCGTTCCAAAACTGACCATAAAGTCCTGTGTGATCTGCCCCTAGTATAGTTGATCTGGGCCACCGACATCCGAAGGCATTCAAACGACCATTGTAGACAACCTGTCAAATACGACCGTTGGAATCCACTCCTCAAGACACTGCGGAAACGCTTCCCCTGCTCATCCGCGCTGCTGAGAACCACCTTAACTCCAGCCCGGCGCTCTGCTTGAAGTGCTAACAGGACACATTCCTAACATGGATGAAGAACTCTCTTTCAGACCAGGCAGGGAGGGTTACTCCTTGGCCTGGAAACGGTCATTGTGGATGTGAACACTCACTCCGGATTAAGTAAATTGTTGAAACCTCTTGAATCGACCCTGTGAGATTTCCAGTATGAGAGGGTAAACATATGTCACACGGATATTTGTCCCGTCTCGAACTGATATACAACTGCATCATGTTGCAAAGATGTGCAAAGTGCGTACCCCCATCATCAAGGTCACTCCAGTTCTCCCAAAGCCACCTGGAGATTCCAGAAGTCCATTGATTTTAAGACTTTAACTTTTACCGTTAACTGTCGTCTTCAATAGACCCACTGGCGCTGCCATGACCTCCAAAAGGAACCCCACAACAAACGCAGGACGATCGGCATCCTCAGGCTCCAACCACGAAGACTTGTGCAAAGGGCACCGGAGGTGTCGTCGGGGGTCCACAGCTGTCATGGCCGATGTGCCAAGGCGGCACCGTCTGGAAAGCAGCTGGCACCACACATCGGTTGATGCACGGAACACATTTGGCAGGTGTGGATTGATCATGTGGAAACAAAACAGGAACCATGCAGCTTGGTCGTTTCTGTGCGAACCTGATCAAACATTCATGAATCATCAGCAACTATGTTGAGTGCAAACGAATGTTTGTTCCACATTTGCCTTGTCCAAAAGTTCATCGTAATCGGCCATTCGACCTAAAACCACGGAGGAGAACGCACTCTGAATGAGCGAATGGATATATACATACATATATAAATATATGTATACATTTTTACACGTAAAATAAAATTTGCATGTGCACACTCATATGCACAATATACTGTACAGTGCCTTTGATGGGCCCCATGTAGATACCCCCTCAGAAAGGTAAAAATACTTGCAAAATACCTGCCACCTAAATATTGAATAACATTACACTTTCAATTGACAATTGGAGTAAATTCATCAGCATGCCTCTAGGGGGTTCCTCTGGCAAAATGATATGTTTCTTCGCTCAAAAACATTTTCACCACCTGTCCGGTGAGGGTTGTTAGATTTGAAGATGGTCTTCTCCTTCCTTCCTTCCTTCCTTCCGTGTCCTGTCCCGTCCCGTCCCCTTGTCTCCTTTCCTCCTTTCCTTCGTTCTTCCTTTCTTCTTTCCTTTCTTGCTTCCTTTCTTTCCTACAAAGCTATTCCAGGGAGCCATGTGGCCTACAGGAGTATGTTCCTAGCAGCTTCCCCTAGAATGGTTTTGTAGGAGGTGGTGCACCTTTCTAGGGGGCCATGGAAATCACAAGCAATTTGCGACATCTGGAGTACCCCTGAATATTATTGTAAATGTCAGGAACCCACAGAATAACTACACAAGAAATTGGGAAAAGGGGGGTGCTGGATTGTTTGTTCTTCATGTTTGGTGCTGCTAAAAGGGCTACCTTTGGAAAACAAACTGATTCTGACCAAACTTACTTTGCTTTGAGTGACCCCCGCCATGACATTTCAATCAGTTGCCTTCATGCCATGGTGAGGACCATCTTGCCATGCTGTTTTTTTGGGTTGTCGATTTTGCTTGTGGGTCCTCGGGCTTGGGGGTGTTGTTTTAGTGTTGGGGAGTTTGCGAAGGGGTGTCGCCAGGGTCTCAGTTGGCATCCAAAAGTGCGACCCTGTGACAACCTGCCACGCAAACTGCCACACACACAGGGAGGAAGGAAGGAAGGCAGGGAGGGAAGGGAAGGGAAGGGAAGGGAAGGGAAGGGAAGGGAAGGGAAGGGAACCGAACCGAAACGGAAGGAAAGGCCAGGAAAGGAAAGGGAAGTAAGGGAAGTAAGGGAAGGAAGGAAGGAGGAAAGGAGGCAGGAAAGGACAGGACAGGAAGGAAGTGAGGGAGGGAGGGGAGAGAGGGAGGGAAGGGAGGAGGACAGCAAGACAGGAAGAAAGCAAGAAAGGCATGGAATATTATGTGCATATACAGCATGCAGTAACGGCAATGGACAATTTACGAGAGCTGCACAACTGGCAAACACTGCACTATTAAAGACTATAGACCTTCCATTCATAAATGGAGGTTTCTAATTTGTAATATCGCAAACTACAGTTGCTGTATGAACCAATACATCTCTAGAATCTATACAGAAGCTAACACATTCAGGGAATTGTGACACACTCAATGATGGCAAAACATTTGAGGCAGGCACCATGGTCGTACTTGCGGAAGAGGAACATGGCCTCTCAAAAACACTTGCCAGTACTTGTTACAAAGCATCTTAAAGCTGCACCAGTGCACCCTGGAAAGGGACCTCATGTGTCCCTGTATCTGGTTAGGCCTACCCCTCAAGTCCTTCACGCCTGCTCGCTGCTCTCAAGCTGTGATTAGCCCTGACCAACTTTTGAAAATTGTGTTAGCATGTCATTGTCAGTTGCTACCTGAGCTGTTCCAAGATACGAGGGGATAATACAACGACGTCCATTGCGCACCCGCTCAAAGCCCAACTTCTGAAAGGCATTCGCCATCAGCTCAGGCATCCTGCATCCACAACGCTGGCGCATGTTGCCCACTCACAGCATAGAAAAATGCGGGTGGGTTCCCAGATTTAAAAGCAATCCTTCTGTCTAATATACTTGAGGCCGAGGGTAGGTGACGAAAGCTAGCAGGGGTGCATCCGGACTGGTGGGACATCAAGCGGAGTGAGGCAAATGCTCATGAGGAAAAACGTTGTGAACATGTAAGACACACAAACAGCAATGACACAGCCAACCTTAGAATTGAAGTCCCCGATAATTAAGGAAGCGTGGCTGGACTTTGCCACACTGTTCGATGCATCCGATGTGTTCACGAACCTGTGAGCTTGTTGAATCTGTTGCACCGTATCCCAAAACCTCCACGGAGGAGTTGAACCAGTGTGGATGCCATAAGAGGTACCCAAGAGGTGTCCCAGAGGCAAAACAAAGCTGCTTGCATGATTTGTTTGGTTTCTTCTATCGATGTCGATATCATGAACATGTGAGCTTGTTGAATCTGTTGCACCGTATCCCGGAGGAGTTAAGCCAAAGTGGATGCCATAAGAGATGCCCGAGAGGTGTCCCAGAGGCGTCCGAGGGGGGAGTTGAACCCAC